GCTCCACTTCTCCCGCCTCCCAGGCTTGCAGCGCCAAACAGCTGTTTGGCGCCACAAGCCTGGGAGGGGAGGAGAATTAGCAGGGGCTGTGTGCTTGGGGAGGAGGCGGAGCAGAGGTGAGGAGCTGCCGCACAGCTCCCTGGGCCGGGGCAGGGGGAGCTGCCGCAGGGCTCGGGGGGGGGCCCCCCAAGGTGGAAGTTTCGCCTAGGGCATGAAACTTCCTTGCACCAGCCCTGCGCATCCACATTGTCCCTGCCCCTTTTGCCTCCCGTCAGGGGCCCTGCTGGTAGGGGCAGCAACGTTAACATTGCTGCCCCTTCCCTTCATTGGCACTTTAAGGGACTACAGCCACTATGACCAGAGGGAGCAGGTCCGAGCAAAGGGCCTGGCCCATTACCACTCCGACAGCACGTGCACGCAGAGGCGGGGGCTGGTCACACCAGCGCCCTGCAGAAAGGAAGGGCTCAGAGCCTGACTAACGGGCGCCACAGGCCTTCTCCTGGAGCTTAGTCTCCAGTGTTGGCCAATGGGCTTTTCTAGACCTAACAGCTTCCAGGGGAGAGAAAACGGGTCTCTGCTCTGGCCACATTCACAGTGCGTTGCTACATTCTCCACTGCTCCCAGCCAGTTCCCCTGAAGTCTCTACACCAGCAGTTCTCAACCTACTGGCCATGTGCGGCCCAATCACCACACAGCTGAGGCCTATGTGACATCCTCGGGGTGCCCCCCCCCCCCCCACACAGAACGGATGTGGCCTGCTAACAGAGAGCTGCGTATGCGGCCCACACACTGACACCCACCCATCTGCTCCACTCCCCATAGCTACGCCCCCAGCAACGAGGGCAGGCCCATCACAGCCTAGCACAGCCATAAAACCAGGCCTCCCCAGCAGCAAGGCGGCTGCACCCAGCCAGGCAGATAACCTGGGCAGTCCTTGGGCAGACCTGGCGGCAGGAACCAGCTGTCCAGGGAATCCCCACAGCGGCAGAGCCACGGGTGGCTGGTGACTAGCCCCGAGGGTGGTACGTGCCCCGTGCACACACCCAGCTAAAGCGAGGACCAGATCTTGAGCTCTAGAAAGGAACTGCCGACACGGATCAGCCCATGCCTGGAGCCGGCTCCAGCCTCTCACTAGGGGTCATGAGCCCAGGCTCACGTGAAACTTGCATCCTGGGCCTCACCTCATCAATGAAGTTGCCGATCTCATCGGGGTTGGCAGGTCGAGGCCGATACTGGGGAGCTGGCAGCAGGGTCGGCACCACGTCGTTGCGGACGATGACTTCGGGGCGAGCCTCCAGGCCGCGGTGCAGCTGGCTGAGGTCGTAGTCCTGTGGAGGGAGAGGCACAGGGTCAGGGCCCTTGGCCGAAGTTTGGCTGATCCAGAACTGGGAGGTCCATTTGCCAGGCCTCATCCGTCCTGGAGATGGACACCAGAGCAGCTCCAAGGCCATTTGTTTTGCATGCCCACGTTGCCCACTCCTGGAAGCATGTGAAGCCTGAGAGTACCAAGGTGGGACCCAGTCAAGCCCCCAGGGCAGCCAGTGCGTCGGGTGTGCCGTTACCCATCCCCCACATGCCATAGGCCACTAGTGCCCACCTGGTCTTCCTCGCCGCCTCCCTCCTCGCCGTAGTAGAAGACGTTGTCCCGGGTGTCGTCCTCTGGGAGCAGCAAGGGCTCCTTCACCACCTTCCTCCGCCGCACAAAGAGGAGCAGCAGCAGCAGGATGACTGGAAGAGACAAGACAGGTCAGCATGTGCCATGCAGTGTGCTCTCCTCCCCCCACAATGGGGCCAATGCTGCTCTCCTGGGTGCCGCAAGACAAGGGCAGGCCTGCGGGGACGCTGAGACACCTGCCAAGTGCTCCGAGATGGGAGCTTGCTGGAGGGCAGGCACCACACTTTTAATGGCAGGGAACCCAGGGCACAGAAGTGAAACAACAGGTCAGCAGTGGAGCTGGATGGAACAAGGTCCCAGGTCTGACTGTTGGTCCTCTAGCCACTAGGCCACGCTGCCTCACCACAAGCAGCAGCAGGTTCCATCCTGCACTGCAAGACACCTGCCTTTGCAGCTCACCCTCTGTGCAGGCCAGGCTAGCTTAGCTCTGGAAGACCCCACCCTGGCACAAGATGCCCATCAGCCAGGCCTAGAGCAACTCCTCCCAGGCACTCACTCAGCAGGGCCAGAATAGCCCCCAGGATGGCCAGAATGATGGGGACCCCCAGAACAGGCAGCTGTTCCTCTGGGCACTTCTCTGCATGCCCCTCACAGTTGCACACTTCTGCCTTGAGGACAGTCAGCTGGTCTTTGTTCTGGTTGTCAAAGAGCCGCAGGTAAACTTGGTAGATGTCTTTCTTCAATGGCTCCAGCAGCTTCAAGGTGAGCGTCTCCCCTGTGCAGACGGACAGTGGGATTACATGGGTGAGACAGCAGCTTGGATACCAGAGGGGAGGGTCACAGGGGTCAGAGAACAGGCCCCCACATCCCCTCTACCTCCCAAGCAGGCCAAGACCCTATGGTGGCTACAGTGCCATGAACATGCTCTACCCAAGGTCACTTCATCCGAGGAGTCTGCATCTTCCCTCCCCAGCGTTCAGCCATGGCATGTCTGGGACTAGGATATCCAACAGGACACGTGGAGAAATCACAGAAATGTAGGGCTGGAAGGGACCACAAGAGGTCATCTAGCCCAACCCCTGTGCTGAGGCAGGACCAAGTATTCTCTAGACCAGTGGCTCTCAATCTGCAGCCCACGGGCCACTTGCAGCCCAATCAGCACAGAGCTGCAGCCCATGTGACATGCTTAGGCCCATACAAGTAGCATTGGATGTGGCCCACAATGGTAAATAGGTGGAGAACCACTGCTGTAGACCATCCCTGGCATGCATTTGTCCAACCTGTTCTTAAAAGCCTCCAACCACGGAGGTTCTGCAGCATCCCTAGGTAATTTGTTCCACTGTGTAACTACCCTGACACAGATAGGAAGTTTTTCCCTGACGTTCAGCCTAAACCTCCCTTGCTGAAATGTAAGCCCATTGCTTCTTGTCCTGTCCTCAGTGGTTAAGGAGAACAATTTATCACCCTCTTCCACGTACATAAAAGGTTGTTACAAAATGACTGTTCAACTGAAAGGGGACAGGCTGTCTCCAGACTCGACAAGCCTAACTTCTTCCAATCTTTCCTGGTAGATTAAGTGTTCTGGACCTAGTCACATGAGTGACTCCAAGCCAGCACCACCCCACATTACATTCTGTGGGCCAGGGCCGTGTCCTGCCTTGCCTTGGATCCACACCCCCAGTTCAGGGCTCATGCCTCCTACTGGAGGGAACGGGGTGGGGGATAGGGGCAAGGGGCAATGGATGGTCCAAGATCTCAGGTGACCAGCAAATCCCTTCAGTAGTTACCTTTACTGTCCATTTCTGCAGCCCAGCTCACACCAGATCCATGGATGAGCTCTGCTCTGAAGGGGGAGGTGTTCGGGGGCAGGTCCTTGTCGTGGATGGTCAGGACCTGTGGCACTGGATTCTGGTTGCAGACGGTGATCTCACGAGGGTCTGGCTCTGGCCCGTTGTCATTCACATCCAGAAGAGTCAGAAGCAAGGTGCCCGTGCCAGTGGCAGGTGGGGTGCCTGTTGGGGATGGAGGGGAGGTGAATGGCTGCACACGATTCACGGTCTCGTTTGCCTGGCCCAGAAGGGGAGCCTTGTGCTCAGCCAGTGGAACACCCCTGCTCTCTGCCTGATCCAGAAGAGAGCTGGCTGCTGCTGGCAGCTGGGGCAGCAGGCTTTAGCTCCGGAGGTCCCTGGTGCAGCCCCAGTGACAACCACCTGGGTCCCCACTCTACAGGGCCAGCTTTGCCCATGACTCAGGGGAGGCTCCCAAGCCCTGCACCTTCAGTTCCACGCCAGCACAGGCTGCTGCAGAGTGCAGCAGCGTGATGGAGGGGCCGACAAGCCAGCCTAGGCTGCTTTTAGAATTACTCCCATCTTCCCAGGAAGAGAACTGGGGTTTAATTTAGATGTGGTTTCTCGTGCCAGCCCAGGAGGGGGCATGGCCTTAGCACATGTCTCTCACATGGGGAGCCATCAGCAGCGCACTGCGCAGGGGAACAAAGATGCTCTTGATCACAGAAACGCAGCGATCGGACAAGCTCTCAGCCCTGCCCCCCACATTCCAGCTGCAGAGCCATTACCATCGTCCACTGCCAGCACAATGGCCGTGTAGGTGTTGTTCTTCACAAACACGGCCTCCCTGTCCAGCTGGGCCTTTGCCGTTACAATGCCGTTTTCCGGGTGAATCTCCAGCCAGCCTGCGGGGTCATTCCCGATGTGGTACCTGAGGGGAAGAGCGTTAGGGGGCAGAAAAGGCACAAGAGCCTGGGGCAGAAGCCAGTTTGTAGGGGAGACAGTTCTGGAAGGTGCCTGCCAAGACGCAAGAAGGGCCAGATTCAGCACCGCTCAGACAGCGAGCCGCTTTCTGCGGCACTCGGACACTTGGCTGCGCAGCAGGGCAAGCAACAGGCTCCCTGACAGAGGCCTCCTGCCCAAATTGCTGCTTCCCCGGGGGCTCCGTACTCCTGAGCGGCCGGTGCCGAACTCCAGAGGTTCTGTTCTGGAAGGGCTGCTGTGCCAGCCAACCTGTTCCGGGGACAGGAGCAGTGGCCATGGGATCCTGTGTGTTTGGCTTCGCTGCCCATAGTTTACAGGGCCAAACCCAAGCTCATGTATCAGCACAGGGCTGTCAAGGCCATCGGTCCCCGTTTGGCCTTGGTGAGCCCTGCTGTTTAGGCATGAAGCTAGATTGGGTACATGTGGCATTACCAGCCCAGCAGCCCTGGCTCCCAGTCCAACCACCACTTACCGGATCGTCTGACTCTGCATTTTGTCTGGGTCCTGAACCGTGTAGGAGGTGATTTTCTGCCCAATCGGCACGTCCTCTGAGACCTGGGCTGTCCGGATGGGCGGGTCGAAGATAGGTGCCTCATTCACATCCTCCACGTTCACCGTGACAGTGGCCGTGGAGGTTGTGAGCTTCACGACAAAGGGCTCCTCATTGGTGGCTGCCACGTAGAGGACAAACTGGCTTCTCACTTCGAAGTCCAAGCCCTGGGAGGGACGAGAAGGAAAGGTGAAGCCTGGCCTGTTGCCTCATGCCCAGGAAGCTGGGCAATTCCCTGAGCAATGCTGGAGCCAGCGGCTCTAGACTTCACTACGTGGCAACGCCATGCGCTCAGCTGTGCTGAACGATGGTCCTGGGTTTTGATGCAGCTACTTCATTCTGGCAGGCCGCTGGAGCCGGACGCTGCCGGTGCTTAGCCATGCAGCACACCAGCCCAGTTTTAAGACCGGCAGATGCTCCTCTCATGGCCAGAGGTGCACACGTCTAGCTGCCCATGAAACCTGAGCCCACCCTCACCTTAGCTGTTCGCAGAATGCCTTCATTGGTCTCGCGATCCGTGGTGATGGTGAAGAAGCCTCCTTCATTGCCTCGCACAATGGTGTACACGGCCCGCCACGCCGCCGTGTTGACCTCGTCTGTGTCCGTCACGGTCAGCCTCTGGACCTCGCGTCCCGCTTCGTTCTCTGGCACTGCCACGGTGTACTGCAACAGAGGGGCATGCAGGCCATGGTCAGCCACACGGTCACAGCTCAGAGCAGAGACCTGGGCCTTCTCCACTGGCCAGCAGCACAAAGCAGCCAGTGGGGACAGGGATAGCTCCTTGCCCTCCCACTCCCACCCCACTCATCCTGCTCATGGCATAGGACAAGACAATCGACTGCAGTCCTTGCCTGGAACCACGACCTCACTGTTTGTGCAGCACTTAACGCAATGGGGCTAATCCAACCGGAGCCCCTGAAAGGGAGACCTCTGGGGCACCCTGGCTGTTTGGTCCCTGACAACTGGGGTAGGAGCAGGATACCATCAGCTGTGCAGAGAGCACCTCACATGGCTCCTAGCCAAGAGATGCTTTGGCTGGAGGAATGGCCACTTTTCCTTGCAGTCTTCCCTGTGCCCGCAATCCCAGGGAGGTGAACGGGACTGGACAGGACACCCCAGCACAGCAGGGGTCAGCAGCTGGTGCTTGCGAGAGGGTGACGGAGTAGGGTACCGTTCTGGGGTCAAACACTGGAGCATTGTCGTTGGTGTCCGCGATCTCAATCACAGCGGATGCAGTGGTTGTTAAGCCTTCCCCATCCAAGTCTGCAGCCTGCAGCGTCAGCGTGTATTCTCTCACTCTCTGGGGAGAGGCAGACATGGAGAGAGAAGATATTAGCAGTGCCAGTTCCCTGTAACCCTTTCACACTCAGTCCCAGCAGCCAGGGCAGGTCACGCTGACTACAAGAGTCCACCATGCATCAGGACTTCCTGGGCCAGGGATCTGCCCAGATCTCTCAGGCATGCACCAATAGGGAGCCCTTCTCCCCTGCAGCCCTAGGCAAGGGTCGAGCTTTGTCACTAGCAGTAGCATACCTCTCCAGCCAGGGAGAGCCACTGCGGGAGACTTCTGGTGTCAAGCACAGATTTATAAACCTGCTTATTTCCTGCAGCCCATTTCAGGCCATCGAGTGGCAAGCTGCTAACGAGGAGCCGTCTCCTTCGTAGGCTTGTGCCAGCATGGAAGAGGACTCAGTCCTCAGCACACGTCACTAACTGAAGCGTAGCTGTGATGTTGCCACCCTCCTGCATGGAGCTTTGCTATGGCAACAGCTGCTGTGTGTCCAAGCCCATGTCTCTGCTCACCTCTCTGTCTAGACCACTTGCAATCACACTGATGGCTCCAGTGGCTCTGTGGATGGTGAACATCTGGGGATGGGGTTCCTTAGGCTCTTGGTTCAGGATGGAGTATGCAATGACCCCATTGTAGGTCTCAATAGCATCATCTGCATCCGTGGCAGTTACTTGCATCACAGAGGTCCCTGAGAGAGAAGGGTAGAGTTGGAGGTGGTAGTGGATCTCTCCTCCCCCATCAGGAGGAGGAACATTTCCCCTGAGGAGTGCTGCAGCTTCATACAAGATGTTAGAATTTTTAGGAGCTCAGGACAATAGCAGAGACTCTGCCAATGGAGAACGGAGCCAGCGTTGGGCTCGTCTCCTTCGGTAGGGAGGAGCGCTAACTGCTCCGAGAAGGACTCATTGGCAAGCCACACAAAAGGGTGTGTAAGTGGGCACCACACTCATGGACCAGTGGCTTGGGGAACCCGCCTGACCCTTCAGGGCTGCCAGAGATCAGAGGCTTGTAAGAAATCAAGCCCTGATGATCTGTGTTCAGTACTGACCACACGTGGCTTGCAGGGGCATGGACGCAGGCACCATCAGAGACCTCAAAGGCAGAATCCCACCTGCTAACAGGGACAACCCAGACCAGTCCATGCCCTGTCCCACTAAGTGCTAACGGAGCAGAGTCCAGAGGTGCAGATTTCTGGAGCCTGGATCAGTATCGGCAGGACAAGGCTATTGCCACCCATTCCTCGTACCTGGCAGTGCTCCTTCCAGGACCAAGCCTCTGAAGAGCTCTTGGGTGAACTGGGGTTTGTTGTCATTCTGATCTGTCACGGTGATGATGATCTCCATGGGCTCCTCCACAGGTTTGCCATTCTCAGACACGGCGTGAGAGAAGAGCTACAGACAGAAACAAGAGGGCTGTGAGCTCCACCACGCTCCCGTCGACCAGCGGCTGGCTCAGAAACGGGCCCCCCGGCAGGTGGAAAGAGCCCCGCTGACCAAACGCAGGGCTTGGGTGACTTACGTGGTATTTGTCGATGTCTTCTCTGTCCAAGGGCTGAGTCACCATCATCCAGCCGGTCTTGGCCTCGATGGTGAAGACGCCATTGGGAGGGGTGTCTGCACCCTGCCCTGTGATGCTGTAGATAATCTTGGTCACTTTATCCTTATTGGATTTGATCTAGGGGGAATCAAAGCATGTACATGGCGCACGGTGTAACTGGAAGGCGGAATTAGACTAGCACACTGCGATTCAGTCCGGTAATGGACGTGAGTAGGGCCTGGCTGAAAGAGGGATAAACTTGCGTTCAAAATAAAATAAATAAAATTAAAAACCAAGAGTGGGAAACCTTCAGGAAACCACTGTGCTTCAGCAAATCCGGAAGAATCTGCTGCAGCAGCGCGTAGGGGAGTGCAAGGATTTTCCTCTACTGCAATTCTTGACAGTGAGATTCTGTAGTTTGTTACTATTATAATAGTATAAATATGCTGAAAAGAGGCCCCCCCAGCCCCTTTTCAAAAACACCCACTGGCAAAAAGAGTCTGTGCTGGGCAGTCAAGGATTTGACACATGCTAAGCTCCAGCAACAAGAGAGCTGGCAGCACCTGCCTGCCCAAGACAGCGTTCAGGCAGGTGAACGCAGGTTTGAGATGCCTCCATACCTGAACCAGCTTTTTAGGGAATGGGCCCCTCTCATTTTCAGGAACCCTTATCGGAGGGATCACCCAGTCCCTCTTCTGTCTCTGCAGACCAGGTCTGGCCTGTGGGAACATCAGCACCTCTGCTTGATGGTCTGAAGCAGATTCCTACAGGGAGAAGAAGGCATCCATGTGTACAAGAAACAAGCCCAGGGACCCCAGACCAGCCAGCGTTTAACCCTGGGTTAGCGCGGTGCCAGCCGGCAGCTCCTTTATACAGAGCGTGCGGTGAGCACAGAGCTGGAGTCAGACTTGCTGACAGTTCAGACACAGACACTGCAGGTGGCCAGACCACGGCAAGTGGGATGAAGACCAGACACATGATCGGAGCCAGACAGAAATGAAGTGCAATGGAGAAGGTTGCACTCTGGGCCCAGTGTGAACAGGGGTCAACTTGGCAGTCCAAGGAGAGCTACGAGGAGCGATTCCCACTGAGCTGCACACCCCTGGGCTGCTCTAGCCAGAAAAGCGGTTGCTAAACCAGCGTCGTTCTCCATGGAACTCACTCCCAGTAAAGCAACAGGCAGTCAGTGGGTTGGGTGCACTGGCAACATTACAGTGCTAGTGGCTATGGGAATGGCCTTCCCAGCCCTGTCTCTTGTGGGGGCCAGGATCAGTCAGGGCACCTTGCCATCCCATTAGGAGACCAAGGTTCACTAGCAAGGCACAATGGTTGCCATAGAGTCAGCCCCTTGCGCTCCCTACAGGCCTGCCAGCTGGCAGGAGCTTTACCTGTGCTGAGTGAGGGCTTTGGGTCTTCACAGTCACTGAAGCAGAGAATTTCTTGCCAGTGGAATCCCAGGCATCCACGGTAAAAGTCTTCCCCCGCCCATGCAGCTGGGTGTGGTGTCTCATCAGGACCGTCCCATCTGCCAGCACACGGAAGTCAGCATCATCTGCATCGTACAGCGCTGTCTTCCAGCTCGTGCAGTCCTCAAACCTCACTGGGGGAGGAAGGGCAGCACTGTTAGCAGGCTCCAGCCACGCACAGGACAGCAGGAGACCGGGTATGGGGGAGACCCTGGCGCTACAACCACAACGGCTTCCAGTTTGAATGGGTTTGCCTATCTCAGTGGCTTTCAGACGTTTGTACTAGTGACCCTTTTCACACTGCAAGCCTCTAATTTATAAGGGGGGGGGTCGCACTCAAACACCTTTTAATATATTTAACAATTATAAATGCTGGAGGTCAAGTGGGGTTTGGGGTGGAGGCTGACAGCTCAGGACCCACTGAGGGGTCCCGACCCCCAGTTTGAGAACCCCTGCCCTATCTAGTCATTTGCATGTTACCCCCTTTCGAGCCATTGACCCTGAGCACACATCATTCTCTGCCTTCTGATCTACCTAGGCACATGTGTGAACAAGTTTCTCAATGCCAGGGCAAGAGTGGAGGGGAGGGAAGAGGAGGGGAGACAGGAATGTGACTGATAAGGGATCTCCAGCTAGACTCTGGCTAACCTGCTAGGAGGCAGTGTTTAAGCCAGACATGTGACAGCACCACCATACAGGAAGGGGTAGGGGAGATCTGGGTTTATCCTCCAGTGTGATCAGCTAAGTCTGCTCAGACAACTGGAGCTGCTGACTCAGCTAAGACAGGCTCTTCTAGTGCAGTCGCTAGCCCAAACAGAGGCTGGGTTTCTGAAACTGCCCATAGTAACACACCAAGGCCAGAATCCCGATGTGTCTGTCAGCCTGGGCCCCCACCACAAAGCATGTGGCCTTCCAAGCTTGGGTAAGTGAGGGCGACGGTGCCACTTCAGATACGCGGCATTGCTTGCTAGTACACCTCCAGAACCAGGCAGTAGGGCAGCTGCCAGTTGGTTAGCAATCATGACTGTGCAGTTCCAGACAAGAACTCTGCCTCCATGCGGTCTGCAGGTTTGCAGACAGGGCTGTCAGCAGCAGGCAGAGGGATGGAGCAGTTAACAGGAGGGCCAGTTCTCCTCTTGCAGGTAGCTCCTACCGCAGAGGAGCCGGCGATGGCCTGACTCGGTTTAGTTGCATTAGGAGTTGGGAATGCAAGAGGTGGACTGCAGGGCTGAGGGCTCTGGGCAAATCCCACACCAGGTGCATGATGCCTTGGCAAAGACTCCAAGAATGAGTCTTTGTACTGCACGCTTCAGTCATATGGTATCCTGGCCAGACCCTAACTCCTTGTACAGAGTGCCCACAGGACACACCCCATTTCTATCCCAACAACCATGCTGCTAGGCCAGACTTACCCAGCTCACCAGAACTCCCCCAGCCCTGTGCGGCCAAGTGCATTGGGCCAGCTGCTAGGAGAGCACTACAGGTCTTTGTAGACCTCTCTGCCACCAGCTCTTCCACAAGGTAACGCTGCCTGGGTGAGCTGCAGCCAGGACCACAGCAGTCACTTGGGCAGGAAGGCTGTACTCACCTTGTGCTTTAGGCCAGTGGTCCCAAAGCTTTTGCAATGGGATATTTTACAGATTCTTGGGAACACCCACCCCGCCATTCACTCTTGCCTGGGCCCCCATTCCATACCACACCCATGAAATGCATGGCAACTGCTCCTGTAGAAGAGAGACTTCCTGTAAGCCAGGAAAGCCAGCACCCTGCCACAGCCGGCTCTGTAAACTACTGCATGGGAGCCTGCTTGGGACATGCTCCCCTTTTCTTTGCCATTGAGGAGCTGAGGTCAGACTCTGGAACACGGGCTTAGGCTGTGAGCTCTGTTCTCAATGCGAATACCTTAGGAGACAAGGGTTCCCATGGCCAGCTCACATGCACAGGCACATGTAGAATGCCACCAGGTCTAAGCTTAGCCGCCAGTTTAGAGGGGCACCGTGCCCTGCAAGGGCAGCCAGAGAGCAGGGTGATGGCAGGCAGGCTTGGTACAGAGCACTCCAGACCCAGGACTTCACTATCCCACGCTCTTGTGTAGGAGGGTTTCTGCTCACTCCAGTGCCAGGGAAGCCAGGAACCCCTCTGGATAATGCTGTGGCCCATCACTTGTCTCCAGAAGTCCACATGTGTAAGAGCCTGACGTGAGGCTAAGCAGTTGCAGGGCGTGTTGGGTAATCTGCCCCCAGCAGCGAGTTACATGCATGTTTCCGGTTTGCTGTCCGACACTGTGCCCAGGGTGAGTCACTGACTCTTGGGTAGCGCCGAGAGGTCTAGTCTCTGCTATGCAGGTGATTAAATGGCCAAGTTATACAATCAGACCTGTCCCACTTCCGGCTCCTGCCATGCGGATCCAGCCACAGAGCCTCCTTCACTAAGGACGGGGAACAGCGCAGCTCTGCCGAGTGGCTTTGGCGGCGCCAGGCTGGAGACTGGGGGCAGCTCCTCACAGCTGGAAGGACAGGCCCTTGGCTCCCTGTTTTGCACAGGAAGATGCTCATGCTCTGACCACTGCAGCCAAGAACTGGTGTTGGGCATAACACCAAGTAGCCTGTACAGGAGGGGGTCGCACCACCCTTGGATCAGGGGCATGGAGTGAAGCCCGACCCAGTCTCCAGTTAGCAGCTTTCAGGGCTGTCGAGCGAAGGCTGCAGCTGCCCATCAGCGGGCCTGGTTTTTGAGAAATCCAGGGTCACTGTGCGAGCTCTCCCCTTCCCTGGGGCAGGAACAGTCCGGTAGCAGCTTGCTGCTCCGCTCTCACTGGAGATCAGGCCCAGCTAGACTGGTCAACTCTGACCTTCCCCGTGAACTGGGAGCATTTACAAGAAACTGACTCTCCTTCAACTTGGACTCCTCCGCTGGTCCCTGAGTAGGGCTTCTAGATGCTAGCTCAGTATTGGTACCAACCTCTCGGGGGGGGGGGGGGGGGGGGAAACTGGCTACAGGAAATCCATCAACTGCGGCACTTGTCTGGAGGCAGCAAAACAGACCCCATACCCGGAGGATTCCAAGCGCTCTTCATTCCCAGCGATCGCTAGTTTGTTTCCTTGCCATGCTAGGAGCCTACACAGCAGGTGTCCCAGGCTAGCCTAGCAGGAGGGCAGGACCAAGGGACTCTTCGCAGGAATTTAGGGCTTTGATTATAGCTCAGGGAGAGCATGGAATAGCTCAATCCAGTGCCCATTGGAAAGGGTCTCGGCAAACTGCTGGCTTTCCGAGGGCGCAGCCAGGAAAGCCTAGCGAACAGAGTATGTCTACACTGCAGTTAGACACCAGCAGACGGCCTGTGCCAGCTGACTTGGCTCATGGGGCTTGGGCCCAAGTCTCCAGGACGATGACTGCACGCTCCATACCAGAGGGCGGGTAGCCTTAGTGCGGAGCTCTGTTGAGCTGCACTAGCCCTAGCCCAGGGATACAGGTGCCTTTTAGCCAGGGAACGGGACAGTACAAGACTCTCCTAGTCAGGGTTCCCTACAGGCAGGCTGGGCTCCCCCACAGCAAGACGGGCACGCTCCTCCTGAGGCTGTAGGGTTTGCCCAAGTCCTCCCACTCTCATGGGCTCTAGTCGCCAGCAGGCTGTGGCGTTGCCTACGCCCGCTCCGAGCGGGGCTAGCCAGCACCATGCGAGCCCAGCTGCTGGGCTCCGATAGTGCTCCCTTGTCACAAGCCCTAGTGAACTGCACCGGCGGGACGATTTTAGAGTGCCCAGTGCACACAGAGCCCGTCACCCCACACCATCAGTGGTCTTGGACAAGAATTCCTGAGGACCATGCACCAAAACAGATTTCCCAGAGACAGCACCAGCCTCAGCCATCACACGCTCCGGAGGGGAGCTGCTTGTATCCAGGATCACACAAACCCTGCAATAAACATGCAAGCTCTTTCCACCCTTAACACATGGCCCAGGGGCCCGTAAGGCTTCGGCTCCTTTGTAATTTTCAGCCTGCACGTCCAGGAGACTGCCCTGGGCCAGCTCAGCTGCCTTGGCACGTTATAAGCCCCAACTTGCAGCAGCAGCCTGGACAGGACCAGGAAGTCTCAGAGTGATACTTTGAGAAATGGAGGCATGTGTTCCACAGAGAAGGGACAGACATCTGTGCTCTAGGATGGAGAAAACAGGAAGACTTCCAGCTCCCCACACCCAGCTAGACCCAGCACAGGTACTTTGAGCGAGCGGCGCACTCGGGTCAGCTCGCCTGGCCTTGGCTCGCTGAAAGCACTCACCACTTAGTGGTATTTCGAGTTCTGCAACCATTAGCTAAGCCCATCACCGAAGCTAGAGTTCTGCATGCAGTTACTGGAAATAGCCTCCTCCCCCAGGACACTTCCAAACGGAAAGAGTAAACAAGGGCTTGCAATGCTGCCCTGCATCAGACAGCGCAGGAGAGAGATGCAGCCCCCAGAGTTCTGGGACTGCTGGCCACGGGCACTGCAGCAGAAAGCTCCCACCACTACATAGATGGCAGGGGCTAGGAGAGGCACTGGAAGGGTTTATTGCCTTGAACCCTGAGCAGAGCCACTTCACATCCCCCAGCCCTGAGACCCCGGCCCAGCGCAAGCAACTGCCTGGCATTCACCACAGAGATCCCCAGCCTTGGTGCTGCCTCCTTGGTACCAGCTGGGGGGAAGGCAAGCCTTCCAACCAGACAGTAGAGGCAGCCCTGTAATAGGCAGAGCCAATCAGATGTCCATGAGCCCTGTAGTATGGGCAAGGACTGCACCTACACCCAGGAGTCTTCTGCATCACTACCCGGGTCAGAGGCTTAAGTGTAATCAGAGCTGACCTGTGCGTCTCTAAGATGGACTTATAGCAACAGGCCAACTCCTCCTCCTCCGCACTGGAGAATTAGCAGTTACACTTCGGAACATTAAGTGCATGTGATTTTTAAGATGCATTTTGATCCCTGTGTAATGCTAATTAGAGGGGACTCAAATAGCTCCGGATATTAAATCGCTCCTAACGGCCTGCTTTTCAGCACCACAGTGCTACTCTGAAGAGTAATTTGTAGCAGGCTTCACGGCGCAAGGGGAATTAGAACAAGCTAGGAGATCAGCACCTCCCCTCTCTCCAGCATGCATGGAATTTTTGCAGCCCCTGTGTTGACATACCAAAGGTCTGTCTCAAGGCCTCTACTTTACAGAGGTCAGGCTGTGCAAGAGGTGAAGGAAGAGCAGAAAGCCTGCTTTGGTTAAATCCTCCATAAGCAGAGCAGTAAACACCACTGTGCGGACTCAGCACCCCCAGGCTGCCAGGGCACTATCCTACAGAGGCCTCTTACAGCACCCCTGAGCTGCAGCCACCAGGCAGGATCTTGAGTCAAGCTCAAAGCACTGGGAAGGCAACACTGTTCCCTTGGCATGGCAATTTGCAGTTTAAGGAACGTTAATTGGGCTTTGGGCACTAACCAAGTAACTGCTCTGCGGGCTGGATTTGGCTGGTTTCACAGGCCAGTGAATTACTGAACAGCATGGATCTGGTTTATAAGGGGAGGGGTCCCTGGATCCACTGCACATTTCTGTTCGGTATTTTATTTGTTTTTACATCTCCAGACAGAAGAGTGAGCTTTGAGCACCTACAGCTTGGTCTACACTAGAAAATTAGGGCAGTTTAACTACACTGCATGAAAACTCCACCCCCCAGAGTGGTAGTTACGCAGACCTAAGCCCCTGCGTAGATCACGCTAGACTGACAGAAGAATTCCTCAGCCTAGCTACTGCCTGTCAGACAGGTGATTACCCACGCGGGGACAGGAGAACCCCTGCAGTCGACACCCAGGCGCTCCAGCAGCTCTGCTGTAGCCTCTCAAGTGTAGACAAGCCCTTGGTCACACAGATGCAGCCCCTCCTTCCCCTCCCTGTGAGGGAGGCTCTGGCCCATGAGGAAGGGCCAGTGGGTGACATAAAATCAACTAAGTTCTGGTGTCCTGCCCTGAAATCACTCCGGCAAGCATGGAGTTAAGTGCATTCCAGTCTGCGGAGGGAGGACAGAGGAGACAGACCAGCCTCTGTTTGGAGCACAATGCGCACATTTCACATGCCGGAACCATGCCCAGCACTAGCTCGGCTCATCCCAGCACCTGATCCGCACTCCCTGGGCCCACTGCAGGGTGGGCCAGGAGAGGCAGGGAAGAGTCCAAAGCGGAGCCATTCCCCCCATTCGGGACCCTGGGGAGGTCACCCCGCAGGTGACTGGAGCAGGTCTGTGGGGCCATGAAACACCCACCTCGCTGCAGGAATTCTGCACTGGCACCCACTGCCGTGCTTGAGCGGGCCTGGAATGCAAGGGCAGAGATGGGCAGGCTGACGGCCATTACAGGCAGAGTCTAAGCCAGGCATTGGCTGGGGGAGGGGGATTTAAATGCCACCCTCCAACGCCTGGCACTAGCCCTTAGAACATGGGTTCAGGGCGCTGCCACGTGCACAAAGACTGGACAGATGCAGCCCTGCCAAGCTGAACCATGCCTGGGGCTCCCGGTTCGGTCTCATGAGCCAGCGCCTTTACCCACATCCCCAGCATGGGGGAGACGCCAGCGCAGGAACTCAACAAGAAGAGCTGCTTAGCGCCAAGGGAGGGGTCGCTGGAGGGGAAGGTGGGGGAGTATCTGTTAAGACATGACACCAGCCAGAATAAGCTACCAGGCCAGGTCAGTAACAGCCTCACAGAAAGCCCCTCCCAGTGTGCGCTCAGTTCACAGGGCTGTTCCCTCTTTCAGGCACCTTCACAGGGTGATCTATTCCTGCCCCATTGTCCTGGGCGGGGTGGGGCTCGGCTCAAGGTGTGGGAGTCTCTTTTGCTTTCCAATCACAGAGGATTGTCCTCCAGCAGTTTGGACGTTAGCATTTCAAAGGCTGCATTCCCCAGGACAAAGCCTCCTGCACTCCAGGGGGAGGAGCGGAGATAAAAAGGAGACAGGCCCACTCTTTTTTCGGGGATAGAAGCAGTTTTTATAACCTCTGCCCTGTAAGTGTTGGAGGCCTGGGGGATTTATGAGCACTGACCGCCAAGTTCACCAGAACTCAGGGCAAAGTTATAAACCCAGGGTGGAAATTCCCCCTACTTTGGGGTGGGACAGACAGGACACAGCCTTTGCAGGCGAAGCCCAAACTACATTAAGGAAAAAGAACAGGAGTCCTTGTGGCACCTCAGACTAACAAATTGATTTGAGCATAAGCTTTCGTTATCTAGATCTATCTGTATCTTCCTACTGTATCTTCCACTCTGTGCATCTGATGAAGTGGGCTTTAGCCCACGAAAGCTTATGCTCAAATAAATGTGTTGGTCTCTAAGGTGCCACAAGGACTCCTGTTCTTTTTGCTGAGACAGACTAACACGGCTGCTACTCGGATACATTAAGGAAGTTTCCACTAATGTGTAATCCCCTAAATGCTTCAGTCTGGATTAAGGCTTTAGCAATTCAACTGCAGCAGAAAAGGCCCTTGAGCCCCCCATTTGGGGTGGAAACAGACTCTCCTCTATAGGGTCTGATCAGATCATTTGCTGAGCACACTTCAGAGGGACAAAGCAGCCAGGGCCTGGGGCTCCCCATTCCCAGCACCAGTCTAACCCCACAGGAAGCCCAGAGGAAGGAGGCCACAAGACTCACCCAGTGCAGTTTGGGAGGAAGGGGAATCAGAATTAACCCTCCAGAGCCTACCAGATACTACAGAAGGTGGAGAATAAGCTGGAATGTCAGGGCAGGTTTGGGACCAGGAGCAGCCAGGAAGCGGTTTAGCGATTATATCCCCAGGGGGACTCACTCAGCGTGCAGGGTTTCCTCACCTAGGCTGCCTGGGCACTGTCAATTATTTCTGTAGAGCCTTTATACTCGTCGGGAGCCCAGGCAGAGGTCTCTGCCCCAAGGACCTCAGTCTGACAGGGCAGATGAGGAGGGGGGGCAGCAGAAGGGACTGGAAGCCGGCTCTGCCTGGCAGGACTCAGAGGCATCACAGCAGAGCATTTGGGACTCCACTTTTCAGTGGCTCTCTCGGTGCAAGCGTGGCTAGCGCCCCACTGGAGGCCGGGGAGAGCCAGCGGAGGGGAACGCCCAAGCAGAACCACACCCCAGAGCATCAAAGCGAGCCTCAGCCCGGGCGAACCCCGAACCACGCTGCCCTAGGGGCGCAGGGGCAGGACTAGCCCAGCAAGGCAGAGGCGGTCAGTAGACAACACCCACCCCACAAGCAGGGGCAGAGCGGGCTCATGGGGCAGCGCCTGGCAGGGGTGAAGCCAGCCAAGGGCACGTCCCACATCTGCTGCAGCGTCCAGGTCCCGCAGGGCGGCGAGCAGCGCCCCGTGGGCTGGCCCAGAGCCCGAGGCAGGCAGGCAGGCAGGCGTCCCCCCCCCCATAGCTCTGCCTCCGAGATCCCGCCCCCCCAGTGCCACGGGCCCCGCGCGGGAGGCAGCCTTACCTTGGCCCAGGACCTGGCCCCGGAGCAGCTGCGCACGGGGCACCACGAACGTGAACCGCTCCAAGGTAAAGCCGGCCCGGCACGGCTC